GAAATATATTTTAATGATAGGTAGATACATTTATAGATATATATGTAGCAATATTTATTCTAAAAGCTCAACTAGTCATTATACATAAAAAATTTAATTTATATTCAATCTGGACGTTAAAAAAAATTTTTTTAAATAAATTTAATGCTGCTTAGAAATATTTAAGTTATTTCTTCATTTATATATATTTTTAAGCAGCACAAAATTATAGAAATACATTTTAGACATTTGCTTTCAATTTGAGCTTTATTACAAACTTTTTTTTTTAATTCCCTTATCATTTTCTTGGCATTATAATTTATTAATTTATACTGTTAGATAAAATTTTAATTTATTGTGTTTTATTTTCTTCGACATTTTATTTTTGTTAATATTTTTTTTACAATTATATAAAGTTTATGATACCACAGTTTTCATATAATTTTGAAGATGTGCATACATATATAGCCAAATTGTAATATTATTTATTTATTTAATTGCAATTTATTTTTAAATACTATATTATATGAGGGAAAAGTACCTAAATTTTATGGGAAGAATGGATTGAGGATATTAAAATCTACTTATGTGAGAAAAGAAGAATTCATATTTCACATATACTGATATATATTTTCAATATTAATATAGGATAAACAACTATACACAACTCTCTCTATAAATTGCCCAAGTATGCAAAGATCTATCCAGACAGCAATAGCAGAGACAATCGGCGTAACTAATATACTCTTTCAAACAGCCAAAGAGAGCGCATTTTAAATGAGTCGCACCAAGTGCTCGACACAATATGCAAATAATCTAAAAATTTATAGGCTTTTGTTGGACTCCCACAGCGATTGCTGCGGCTGCTGCTGCTGCTGATGCTGATGATGGTGCTGGTAGAGGAGCTACCTCTACTTTACTCTCTGGCTGGGCATCAGCTGTTGTGGCCTTAAGTTTGAGTGGCATGCGGGTAAGCTTAAGGCTTATTATCTTTTTATGAACTGAACTTCGTTTTGGATTGGCCAAGGTTTTGCTTCTTCGTCGTCTTATATTTCCTTGGCTTAAGGCTATGTACGCGATTGTCCTGGCTGTGTCGGGTGTCTTACGCATGATTGATGCGTTGCATGTGTAGATATCAGAGCGTCGAGCCCAGGGACAATGGCAAACTTGACATTTCTTCAAATCGAATTGTGGGCTAAAGTTCAAGGCGTGGCATTTCGATAGAGGGTACGAGCCAGCGGCAAAGAGGGTTGCCTGGCTAAATGAACAGCTTCTATGCATGTGGCTAAAAATCCATTAAAACACTTGAGATATGCTGGCAGACGCGACGCGAATGCGACTGCAAATGCTCTCCAAAAAGAACAACAACGAAATGCATTTCCGTTTAAAGTAAAGGCTGCCGTTGCTGCTGTTGCTGCTGCTTTGAAGGCTGCCAACACTCAGACACAACAGCACTTTCCACCCATACCCGAAAAATTAGCAGAGGACGAGAAAACCTCCATAAAGCGGGGCACATTAAATGTTATTGATATTGCAATTTTTTAGCATTTTTTGTAATTACAGCAAAGAAAGCAAAACAAAAAAAAAAAAAAGACGGTAAAAAGAATCTGCTTGCCGGCTATATCAAACAGCCATCAATTGTCTGGGCCAAAACCTTGAGGCTGCAGAGCCAGCAACTGGCTACGGCTGCCAGGCGGATAACTGTCTAAATGACACTTAAGCATGTGTTTAAACATGCCAAGCACTTGCACTCACTCAAACTATGCAACAAGCATGTGTGTGTGTGTGTGTGTGTCTGTGTGTGCGGCACCAACAGGGTTGACAGCATCACCAAAGTTCAGGGCTTGATGCTGCTGTCGATGCGCTGATAAGTCTTTACTCTCTAGCCCCTACACACACACACACACTCACACACACACACGCACACACACATACGTGTGTTTGCCGCATCTTGCATCGTCTCGAGTTCAGTGCGAAGACAAGTGCCAATGTTGCCAATGTTGTTGGGTAAACTCATAATTGGAATTAATTATGCATTCGCACTTTGCGGACAACTTTTCGAGTGGTTTGAGTGGTTACTAGGCTAAGTGTATCTCTTCCTCTCTCTCTCTCTCTCTCTCTCTCTCTCTCTCTCTCCATCTCTCTCTGTGTGTGCTCCGCTTTAATTGTACTAGTGTGGGTCGCTCAATGCCCAACTAGAGATAGCAGCCACAAGCAGTTTTAGCCAGCAAGGGTTAAGTGCAAATTGCAGTTATCGTAAGTATTGCCCAACACTGGCTACAGCCAGGCAACGCCTCACAGATCAGCAGCCCAAATGATATGGCTTAACATCAAAGTGGAACGAAGTTTAATCGTAATCGAAGCCTCAAGCTTAACTCTTTTTTCCATGTGCTTTGCACATTTGTCGAGCTGTTTGGATAATCGGCAAATTAAACAAAAATATATATATATATTTTTTTTTTCAATTATCCACATATCTAAGCTTTTCACGGTAACAATAAATAATTTTAGCTCAAATTATTTTCAAATAAAATTCTTTTAAATTCTAATAAATGACTTTCTGTAAACAATTTTAAAGTTTTCTCATTCTCTATTAAATCCTGATAAATTCCAATATTAAAATATATTTATTATTCGTTAAGAAATTGAAAAGCTTTCTCGCAATGCTATTTTTATTATCCAATTAAAAATATTAGAAACAAAAATATTTCAACAGATATAACTTTTACAATTTTTATATAGATTCCATACGCATAATAAATAGATCAAATGAAAAAAAAAAAAAAAAAACAAATTACAATTAAGTGAAATATATTCATACATATATATACTCGACTGTAACTGACACTTAGCATGAATTTTCTTTTATATATGTGTAATGAAAAGCGTTTCAAAAGCCAACTTATTCAATTAGTTGGCAGCATTTTGTGAGCTCAACCAGCACATTTATCTTGCGTTTTCATTTTCCCAGATTTTTCCTACATTTTTTTGCGTTTGTTTGTGCCATTTGGCATATTCTAAGCTGTGTAATTTGTAGGTGCTTTATGGCCAGGTACTTGGACTTGAGCACTGCCCACACCTGAGTCCACTAAGAATAGAATCTCTGTGTGTGGGAGTACCCCTATTGTTTGGCTGCTTTGTTATGGATTCTTGTAGAATGTTTGAGGCTTTATTAAGCAGCTACTTACATATGTTGCACAATATGACAAGCTACATGGAGAGAGAGAAAGAGAGAGCGAGAGAGGGTGAGTTAGATGGAAGAGAAGACAGTTTACAGTGAATAGAAATTAATTAAATTTCGAGTACAACATGACAATGCGCAATGACAATGACAACGGCAGTTGGCGATAAGAGCGATAAGCGCTAATAAAATGCAATTACCCCAATTGCAAATGCAATGCCAAGAATATCGCAATGGACAATGCCTGCTGGCAGTTTAAGCTATCTCAGCTTCTGCTTCTGCTGCTGCTTCTCTCTCTCTCCCTCTTTTCCCCCTCATCTATTATAGTTGTAGCTGAATGCCCCCAATGGGCATTGCGTGCTGTCAGTTATTTCAACGCTCCATTTCATTTGTTTTGACAAGCCAAAGACTTAAATCACAAATGACTTATGGAACGCAAGGAAGAGTGGAGCCGGGGGATAAAAAACAAGAAAATGAAAATGGAATTGGAAAAGCGCGAAGAAAAATGACAAAAGCCGCAGCCACGAAATGAGTGAAATGCCAAAGGCTGGACAATGCCAAATTCTCGCTTCAAACATGCTCCAACGCCAATCCGCAGTCCAAGTCGCCGTCTGAGTCGCCGTTGGAGTCTGAGTTCGAGTCCTAGACCGCGTTGCCCTGTCGTGGGTGGCGGCGCGTGTCATGAGCAAACAAGATAATATTACAGCCAGTCAACGCAAATTGAGCAGCTTGACGCTGGGCATGAGCAACGCATTCCCTATATATAGACGTGTATACCCAGTTGAAGGAATGACAGAGAGAAAGAGTTGCTTAAAAAGGCGTTGCTAGTCGAGTGAAACAAGGGAAGCGGACATTTTAATATTTGTCGAAAATATTGAACGAAAACTTTTATATACACTGAGCAAGTAAAGTCATCGTATATATTCGATTATAGCGACAAGGAACGCCGTAATATCCAAAAGACACGTTAACCATCCAAATTTGCTCATATAACTAGAACTAAAACCTTCCTCCCAATATCCGTAAGGACGCTATAAACGGAGTTGATTATAAATCGGATTCTACTATGTTGAAATAATTCCAATAATTTTTTTACGGTTTGTAGAATCTATAGAACAGAATAAGAATAAATATATTAAATATTAGCAGCAGTCTCTATGTAATTATGTAGTCCATATATGTAGCATATACAAGTTAATAAAGCGATAAGATATCTATTACCTCTAGATATAAACTGCCTGAAATTTGATTAATTTTTAAAATTTTGAATATTTTTTGATTGAGTTTAGCTTATACCTAGTTTATATTTTTAGTTTTATCTAATGTTGTATTAGTTATTTTTATTACATTATTTATATATTATATTACATTTTACATTTCCAATATCTACAAATTCATTATTAATTTCCAGGATATCTCGCAGTCCACCGCCCGCATTCGAATCACTCAATTTAGTGCTGCTTTTGTGGCACTAAATGCAAATGAAAACGTCTCAGCTTACGCGTTGACTGGACGCCGTCGCCAAATGTGCTGGCCCAAAAGGCAGGAACGAGGAACAGGGGCAGGGGCAGGAGGCAGAGAAGGCTGCAGCGATGGCTGCTTCCTGGTAGGAAAGCGGCACTCAAACTGTCCAACGAGCTAGCTGGCCCAAAATGGAAAGTGCTGGCGCATTCGCAACGAAGCAAATGATTGATCGCTGGCATCAATTTACAGCAGCCTTATTGCGTTTGCTTGCGGCTTCGACAAGTTTCACTTAAGGCACGAACTTAAAGACAAATCTTAACTTGGCTTAAGATTCGCTCCGACTATTTTCATTTCCTCGTGTCAGCGCGGCGCGCGCTTTTGCATTTGGTTAGGAACGTTTATGAAAATGTCTGGTACATGTTTCGCCTGCGCAAACAGAATGCGAGTGCTGCAATAAAATTCCATTACAGCCGCTTGACTTAAAAACTTGGCCCAAAAAAAAAAAAAAAAAAACGGAACGAACGTGGAGTGAAGCAAAATATTCGCCAAAAGGAGAGTGTATTAAAAGCCAGCCAGCTTCGCGCAATGTGAATGCACATGTACACATGCACAAGCATATATGTATGTGTGTGTGTTGGCTTTTTGCATATTTTATGAAACTTGGCGAACATTTAACACCCCGACCAACGCTGCGTATGTGCAACGTACTCACTATAAACGCTGCAAACTCATTACTTGAATTTATTTTGCACTTAAACAAAATGTTTCATTTGCCACGAGCTGCGGCAGCCAGCCACATAAACTGTAGCCGGTTGCAACACTTTAGGCGTTTAGCTGGGCGCTGGCGGCCGGCTGGCAGCAGCAGCAGCAGCTGCATCCTTCCAAATGCTGGCGATTGCTGCTGGCATGGTGCTTGATAAGATGCAACTGCTGCTGCAGCCTGGTGGCGCCATCGCCCGCAGCCTTGAAGCTGGGGCACAACGCGTTCGGCTTGTGCACAAAGCTGCAGCGCTCGCAAATATTTGCGGTGGCCCGCAACACCTCTGGATTGTGCATGCAGGCAGTGAGGACATCGTCCGGCAGGCCGAGATCAGCGCGACTCGATGATGGCTCGCTCTCTGGCAGCGTCGTCAATTCGGCGCCGCACTTAATGCACACATCCAGCTTGGCCTCCGACGGGCACTCGCATGGCGTGCGCTCCTCGTCCGCCTGGCGCTGCCGGCAGGTGCGACGCGGCTCGTAGAACAAGCGCGTGAGGCACGACGCTGGCCGCTTCTTCTCCTGCTTCGCCGGGGCTGGCTGAACGGGCTTGGCCTTCTTCGGCTCTTGCATCTGCTGTTGCACCTTCTGGATGGCATCGGACGCTTGCTCCATGGCAGCCAGATGCTCAAAGTACTTGGAATGTGCACTCAGGATGCTCTGGATCACAAGCACCGAATAGCGATCGTCCATGCGCCTCAGATCCCGGTACATTGTTGAGTCCCCAGAGACTCGATCGTATTCCATCGATGAATAGGACATGGCACTCTTCCGTTCGTTCGGTGCCTGCAAATACGACATGAGATCCTCCTGCGAATCGCTGTACCCCCTCTGGCGCATATCCGATTTGCTTGCCGTGAGCTTACGTTTGATGATCTTCGCTCCATTCTGTATCGCTTCGTTGGCGATTTCGCCAATGTATTTCAAATACTGAGAGCGCATCATTTGATAAATCGCCGGCGGGGGTATTTGAACGTTCTTCAAATTCGCATACAGATCGTATAGAGTATTCCACAAATCGTGATTTCGCACCGTATTGATGATCGCTTGGCGATCGACCAACGCATCCAGTAAACTGGGCGCTGAGATTGTGTCCCTGAGAACATTTTGCACTTCCATTATTTTACTATTATTATCCAGTGCCATTTTGGCCAATAGCTCGTAGCCAACAGTTGCCCGCTTGGACGATACGTGGAATGAGACCTCACGAGTCAAGTCGTCATGGTATGAATCGGATCTGTGGATGTCGGACACTGATTTGTTGCGCAACAGCGCGGCAACATCTTTCGGCTGACCCTCCTCGCTGAGGCCCTCGAATATTATTTTCAGTGCAGTCTTCCCCTTCTCCAATTGATCCTCAAACTTGTTCACTGCCACCGAATCGCCTGGCTGACTGGTTGTCTCTGGGGGCAGCTCTGATGGCCCTGCCCCCAACAGCTCATTGAGCTCCTCATCGGATTGATCTCCTCCTGGCTTCCCATCGCGCATCTTCTGCTGCAGTTTGCGTAGCTGCTGCAGATGCTGTATATACTTTTGCTGTGACATCTGCTTTTTGACTTGTTGCTGTAGCTGTCGCAGCTGGCGTTGCTGATGGCTTGACAGGTGCTTTAGATTTTTTAATGCCTTTATGTGTTGCACTTGTTGCAGATAGGTTTTCTGTTGCTTCAGCTGCAGCTCGCCCACCTTTTGATCTTCGTTAGATTGGTGACTCTTTCGCTTCTCCTGTGGCTCATTGCCGCTCAAACGGGAATCTCTTTTTCGTTTATTAATATAGGACATCAGCGATTTGCTTTCCCTTTGACTTTGATATGATCTGGTGCTCGAACTGTCATCATTTCGTTTCAGTTTCAAATCTTCGATACCCTGATACAAGTCCTTAAATTTGTGTGCGGCTAGTGCGTTTAGTTCGATCATCGATTCGGTCTCATTGGGCGGATTTGCATTTTCAAGTTCCCCAGATAATTTTCTCTCCTTATGCGAACTCTTCCTCTTTGCCGGCTTTTTCGTGCTCGAAAAAGAAGGTGTTCGTATTGGTTTGATATTTTCCACTACACTCGGCTTTAACTGTGGTAACTCTTCCTGAATGGGAACTCGATTGGATTTCCGATAGCTGGGTCGCTTATATATGACCTTCGGTAGAAATCTTCTATCTATCACATCAACCTGTTTGGGCTCTTCTGTATGTCTGGGCTTCAGTTGTTGTTTTTTTTTACCTTTCTTGAACTTACTGGCATCTTTCGGAACTTCGAGGCGTGGCGGCAAATTATGTATTTCACTCCCGTTGTCCATTTCACTCTCCTGCTCTATTTTCAGATTCTGTTCATTGGCTTTTATTAACATGTCCATCATTTGCTTCGCGTTGACCTTTGTTTTTTTTTTTCCAATAATACTATTTACACTTGATTCAATTTCCTGGAGTGTTTTATATGCCAATTCTTTACCGAACTTGGATCGGATTTTCTTTGAACTTAACGTTTTCTCTTGCTCATCTTCGACTACGTTTTGATTTTTCTGCTGTTTCTGTTTCTTCACATGCTTCCGCAAGACCTCCGACGTCATGAATGTAGATATATTAATTAAATTATCATCGTCATGGCGTATTTTCTTTTGTTTCCGATCTTTTAGATACCTTTCAACGAAATTCAATTCCGTTAGCAAGCTCTTGAAAAGTTCTGGATCAATCTCTACGTCAGCATTGCCATATAAATAGCGCATATTGCTCGGCTTGCGAAGTCTGCGCAGACTTTTGGCAATAATCCATTTGCGTCTTGGATTCATTCTCAATCGATTGCGCACAATTCGCAAACTCTCATTTACTTCATCGTCCTGAGCGCGCAATTCCCTAATTTTCTTCTGCTGCAATTTGTTCTTCTTTTTCCACTTGATCAGCGAACTTTGGTAAATGAACAACAGCCGGGCGACCTGTGCCCTCGCCTGTGCCCTGGATGACAATTTCCGTCTATTGCAATAGTCGACCAAAAGTTGATTGACAGCTCCGGCCAGCTGCTTACGTATTTGACGTAACGCCTTCAAGCGCTTGCGTGCCAGCCATTTGTATTTCTGGAGCTCCTTGTTCTTGTGATGAATCTGCTTCTTGATGTGCATCAGCTGCACCCAGCGATTCGCCAGCAGAGACATTTTCAAATGGCTTGAAGACTTTGCTTTCAATTGAAGATTTCCAGCTTAATAATTTTGTGCTCAGGCATTAATTTTAGAGTTTATTTGAAATAAATTTATGTAATTAAAAGAAAATGTGTATAAAATTTGATTAAAATATCTCAAGTAAATGGGGCTATATCACAATCAACTTTGCTATGTTTATTCTTAGTACTTTGATTCTTAGTTCTTAACTCATTCTTAAGCATTCCATAAAATCGAGTCATTGGGTCAAGCTGCACTCTTCTGCCTAGGTAAATCACCGACTCAAGCAAACGGGTATTCCGGGTAACAGTGAAAGGCAGCTACACCTATCGCCTTATCAGCAAGGGCGACGCTAGAAAAGTTCACACAATGTAAATCACATGCGATAGGGAAGCACAATTACAGCATCAATCATCTCATCTCATCTCAGCTCGCTGCGCCAGCCCACTATAAAACGTATATAAAAGCCAGGTGAGGCTCACAATCAACAGCAGCAGCTTGACGCAATCAACACTACAACAACAATTAAACATGAGCCAAATGTTCGGAATCTGTCTCATTCTCAGCCTGGGACTGTTGGGCGTTTATGCCGCTGCATTGCCACAGCAGCCGCATGTCCAGCGTCTGGTCTACTATCCCCCACCGCCGACTCCTGCACCGATTTTGCGTGCACGTCGCCAGGTGCTAGGCGGTTCGCTGGTTTCAAATCCCGCTGGCGGCGCCGATGCACGCCTGGATCTAAGCAAGGCCATAGGCACGCCGGAGCACAATGTAATCGGACAGGTATTTGCCGCGGGCAACACACAAACCGGCGGACCCGTCACCAAGCCCGTGACAAGCGGCGCCTCCTTGGCCTACAACAAGTATGTTCACCAATTAATCACGGCCAGCAGCCCAATTCTAATCCTTGAACAATCTCTGCCACAGCAACGGCCTCGGCTTGGACCTGACCAAGACCCACACGCCCGGCGTGCGTGACAGCTTCCAGCAGACGGCCACAGCGAATCTATTCAACAATGGCGTTCACAATTTGGACGCGAAGGCTTTCGCCTCCCAGAACCAATTGGCCAATGGCCTTAAGTTCGAACGCAATGGCGCTGGCCTGGACTACTCGCACATCAGTGGACATGGCGCCAGTCTGACGCACAGCAACATTCCCGGCTTGGGCAAGCAGCTGGAGCTGGGCGGACGCGCGAATCTCTGGCAGTCGCAGGACCGCAGCACACGCCTCGATCTCAGCAGCACATCTTCCAAGTGGATGAGCGGACCGCTGAGCGGCCAAAAAGACTTTGGAGCCAACCTGGGTCTCTCGCATTACTTTGGCTAGGCAGAGCTGATGGGAATTCGTTAGATATTAATTAATTTTCTTTTTAATAATTGGCCTGAATTTATATTTTGCTTGCTTCGAACAGAAAATTTGTATGTTATATTTATAAAAAAAATAATAATAATATATATATATATATAAAAAAAATTTAAAAAAAATTAAAAATGTATTTAAAATTAATTTTTATTTTATTTTTTAATTAATATATTTTTTTATATTATTTAAAATTTTATATTTGAAGTAAATCTCATATTATTCAATTTCCTTAAACATAATTTGATTTATTTTAAAAACAAAATTTAATAACCTCACAACAAAAGACATACATATATTTCCTTTAGATACCTGAACCCAGCTCCCTCTCAAAGACCTACAAAAGACCTGGCCTGCTGCTCGCCCACCTCCTTGAAGATCTCTGCTGTCTTGAACAGCTTGATGAAGCGTGGCGTGAACTCCGGGTGTATTGTCTCCGCGTCCTCCGTAGCGATGGCCTTGTGCAGCAGCCCGTCCAGCTGAGCTTCGCGCTGCTTCCGCTCCAGCGTATCGGACATTTTACGCAAATAGATGAGATCCAGGAGCAGCTCATCCCGCACATCGGCCGCCTGCCTCTGCTGCTCGAGAGGCAGCTGCTCGAACTCTCGCAGCAGCTTCTTGACAGTGCGTGACTTTTGCTCAATGTTCGCTGGCTCCAAAATGTGCTCCGCCTGCTCGTTGCTTTGGGCAAGCAGTCGCAGATTCGCCTCACGTTTATCGCGCGTCTTTTGCTGCTCGGCCATATTTTTCATGATCAGATTGTAGAACTCCACCAGATCGGGACGCAATGGCATGCAGTTCTTTATTTGCATTTGCTTATCAATTAGATCGCTTATCGTCTCCATAGTGCGACGCACCATATACTCCGTCTCCTGCAGTTGCTTCTCATTCAGATTGTTGCGTATCTGATAGAAATTCTTGGGCGCCTTCACAGCGCATTTACGATTCTTGGCCAGCACTGCCACCAATGAATCCATGCTCGGATCATTGCTGACCATATCGAAGACAGTATGGACTATATCATCGGACAACTTGCCAGAGACGAGCTTGCCGTAGTGCTCGCTATACGGCTCATTCACATCCACGTGTATGCCCGAAGAGTTGCTCGGAGAGCTCAAAGTAGAGTTTGAGTTGCTGAAGATGTTGTGGAAACGTTACTCTTTATCTCTATCTCTATCTCTATCTATGCATCTGAATCTATTTATTAGTATCTATGAATCTTGATCAATGTATCTGTATCTATTTATCTGTATCTGTACCGATGTATGTGTATCTATGTATCTATATCAATGCATCGGTATCTAGATATCTGTATCTATATATCTGTATCAATGTATCTGTATCTATGTATCTGCATCTCTGTCTATATCTCTATCTGTATTTGTATCTATAAGTTGTGTCTGTATGTGTATCTATATCTATATGTGTATCTGTATATGTATCTCTCTATATATTCCCCCCGCCCCCTTCTCTCTCACTCTCTATACTCCTTCTTTTTCTCTTCTCTCTCTTTTTCTCTCTTGCTTCCTCTCTCTTTCTACTTACTTCTTGACATTATCATCTTTAGCATCACCTTTTTTTGCCTTTTTCTCCTTTTTCTTGGTTTTCTTTTTGTGTCGATCCTGACGACGCTGCTTGGCGTCTTCGTTCCGGTCCATGGCCTCGCGTGAATAGCGCTCGTCTCTATCCAAACTCACATAGTCCTCGTCCACAAGTGAGGATGCACTGAAACGCTGACCGCTCGGCTGCACACTAATCGTACCGTTGCTAATGAATTGATTCGTTTTCGGATCTGTGCACACATTCGCATTCAGCGACACATTCAGCTTTACGGCATCGGGCCTATTGCAGATATTATTATTGTCGACTGCGACATCGGGTGCTGCTGGGCTGGCCTGAGGGCGTGAAGTTGTGCTCTCTGTTGGAATAGGCACACAATCGGGATTCATGGTGCTGCCAGCAGCAGCAGGAGCAGCAGCAGCAGGAGGAGCTGCTGTTGTTGTTGCTGCAGTTGATGCCGCTGCCGCAGCAGCAGCTGCTGCTACTGTTGTTATTGTTGCCGCCGTTGTTGCTGTTGTTGTCGTTGTTGTTGTCTCTGTTGTTGTTGTCTCTGTTGCTGTTGTCTCTGTCGATGGTTCGGTTGTTACTTTGCTTGTTGGCACACACGGATCATTCATAAGATTCAGCTTGTTGGCCTTATTAGCGGACGTTCCAAAGTGACGATGCACGCCATACAAAGGCTTCATGTGATTGGATTCTAAATTTGTCTGATGTGGCTGCTGCTGCGGCTGCTGCTGATGCAACTGCGACTGTTGCTGCTGCAACTGTGATATCTGCTGCTGCTGCTGCGGCTTCTGCAGCTTGACCAGCTCATTGAACAGATTCGTAAAGTTCAGATTTGACTTCAAGTTGTTGGACAGCAGCTGATTATGGAATTGTTGTGCCAGCTGCGGCTGTTGTCGCTGCACCACTTGCGGCTGGCACTGCTGCAACTGTTGCAGCTGCTGTGGATACAACTGTTGCTGCTGCTGTGGCGGCATATATGACTCAAAGGGTTGCATATACTGGAAGGGCTGTGGATTGCTGCAACGCTGACTCATCATGGGCACCTGGTAGCGTGGATTGGTGAAGATATTGGTGTCCACTGCGCCCGAATCCTGTGTCAGGTCATCGCCCTTGAAACTGGACAACCGGGATCTCTCATAGGCCAGATCATCGTCACCATTGTCCTCCGCAATCTTAGCTGCATCCAGATACAGATCGTTGCCCAGGTTTCCGTAATGCAAACGATTGCCATTGTGATCCTCGAAGTCATCTAAGGCTTTCGATGGACTATCCATTATATTTAGCCATGGCTGTAACTCCAATTTCGGTTGGATTAGTGGAGAATACTCCGAGTCTGATTGGGATCCGGTTTGTGAGTCCGACTGGGACTGAGATGGCGACATGAAGAGCTCCGAACGGGAATCGAACATATTTCGTGCATCTGCATGGGAAGGCTGTTCTATTTGTATATCCGCATCTCGCTCCGACTTTTTATCTCTTTTGGAAATCGCATGTGACTCTAGCTGTGAGTCCGACTGAATCTCTGATAAGCCTTCTGACTGTGCCTCGGACTGTAGCTCTAACATGGAGTCATGATTTCTTTTAGCTCTCAACTGGTTGTCTAGCTGTGAGTCCGACTGTAGCTCTGACTGTCCCTCCATTTCAGAGTAGCGCCTGGATCTTTTCTCTCTATCCAACGGAGCCTTCACCTCTGAATGGGATTGTGAATAAGCCTCGGCTGAGTCCAAATCGTGGTAGCTCTGGGATCTTTTCTCTCTTTTCGACTTGGTGTTTGATAGACTCTGTAACTCTGAATCGGATTGTGAATCAGATTGCAGTCCCTCTGTTTGTAGCTCCAGTTCGGAATGCATCTTTGCCTGTGTCTCTGTCTGATCTTTTGACTCTGCTTCCGATTGAAGAACGGATTGAGATTGCTCTTCGCCCTGAGCACGTGGCTCTGGCATTGCCTGTGGCTCTGTCTCCACGGAGCGCTTGCTGCGTCGCTTGCCACCGTTGCGGTTGGGTTTTTGGCGTAGCCCTCGTTTCCTGTTCCTCCGCTTGATATTGCGTTTATCGCGCTCCTTCTCATGCTGCGAGATCTTATTCGCCAGCAGCTTGATCACAGCATCCGGATGAGTCTTGCACATGCCATGCAGCTCCGACAACTCTTCGCGCTTGGTCTTTGTCTTCAGAGAGTTCTCTTCATTCCGCATGATTTCCTTGTCCTTCTCATCCACAGACTTTGCCTTGGAGAGCATCTGTGAGTGCGCTTCGTTGATTTCATTCTGCTTGGCATTCTCATTCACAGATTGCGACTGTTGAGCATCCGCTGAGGCATCGACCTGCTCCTGATGCGTGGACTGCTTATTGGTTTGAGCAGCTTCGGCTTGGAGCGTTGCGATTTGAGCTTCTTGATTTGGTTTGAGCTGAGCTGCGCCTTGGCTCTCCATTTTTGCCTCAGTTGCCTTCAGTTTGGCCTCCACTTTATCGGCGATGGCAGGCTCCGGTGCTGAGAGTCTGGCCATTATGGCCTCTGCCTCTGGCAGCTTATCGTTGCTCTTGCCTTTGCCACCGCCTAAGGCCGCGTCAGTTTGCTCCATGCTCGCCTCGCTCTCAGTTTCTGCGAACTTGAGCTCCGCTTGCGCCTGCGTCTCCGGCTGGCGCTTGTAGCGTTCGCCCTCCCGTCCCAAATTCAGTTTGCTATTCGCATGCGCATAGTCCCGCAGATTGGGCAAGATGCGCTGTCTTGACGCCGGGAACTGATCAAAGTGGGGCATGCGATAGTCGTAGCTCTGCGGCGTGTCCAACAGATGCATACTGGAGACATCCAAATCGGAGCTAGCTCTGCTATCAGCACCAAGGCCACGAATGGAGCTGTCCTCGATCGAGCTGAGCGATTCATATGGCAAGCGCATGACACCCGCTTGCTCCTCGTTCTCCTGCTGCTCCTGCTTTCGCTCCTTCTCGCGCTCGCGCTCCATTCTCAGCTCACGCTGCGTGATTATATCATTCACATAGTGCGCACGCAGCGTATCAGAGAGCGAATTGCTGGGCAGCGAGGGACCCATGCCCTTTAGCATCAGCCTGTTGCTCGTCTTCAGCTTGATCTCGTTCATGGGATTGAAGCCGCCATTGGAGCTGCGCTTCTTCAGCCCAGCGGGAAAACGCACCTTGTTGGCCTGCTCGGCCGCCTCCTGCTCGATTTTGGACAGCTTATAGTTCGCCTCGTGCGACAGATTATTGGGATTGAGGCGTGGAAATTGTAGGCGTATGAGCGTCTGCTCATAGGCCCCATTGGGCACAATATCATTGCCATAGTCCTTCAGGCCCTTCTCTATGTCCGGCTTGGGATCCTTTTTACTGTCTCGACTTTGCTGTAGCTCATGATTTTCCAGTTGCTGTTGCATGTGGCGCAGCTTAATGTCCAGCTCGGTGGCGCCACCGCTGAGGAAATCGAATTGCGGCTTGTTCGGCAGATGGCTGACGGGCAGATTCTCATCCGTTAGCTCCTTGTACTTCTTCTTCACCTTGCCCACCTCGGTTTGATCGAAGCCCTTGCTATACGAGCTAATGTGATCCATGGATTTGGCCTTGCCTGCGGCGCGCTGGTATTTGTCAGCAGGTTCTGCTTTCACTGCTGCAGCATCTTCTGCTGCTGCGGCACCCTTATCAGCTGCTGCTGCTGCTGCTGCTGCTGCTGCTGCTGCTGTTTCATCTGCTGCGGCTGCTGTTGCACCTTTGTCTGCTGCTGCTGCTGGTTCTGCTTCTGCTGGTTGCTCCTGCGCCATGCTTGCCTCAAAGTCACGCAGCCAATCATCCGCCGTCTCTGGCTTCGCCTTATTGCTATCCTTCCGCTCAGCGGCTGCCTTATCGCCTGCCTGAGCAAAGCTCGCCAGCAATTCATCGATGCTATTGCGCCGCTGTCGATACACATCGGCGTTGTGCACCTGTCCATAGCTCGAGTGTATTTCCTGCAGCTGATCGCGCGCCTCATTTACGGCAGCATGGAAATTGCTCAGCTCCTCGCTGCACGCGTCTGCCGCTGACTGTTTCGATGGCTCCGTATGGGAGCTGCCAGTCAGCACCATCAGCGTCCACCAGAGCTGCAGAAAGATCATCGTGTCGAGCTATAATTAACTTACAAAATATATATAAGGGAATATGTATATACATATATTTAGATATATATGAATGCTATACAATTGAAAAGTTTTGCGCCAACTGCCTGCGATTGAGTTTTCATTAACTTGGCAACAGGTTGTCTGTCGTGTGTGGAGCGGTCGGGGGGTGTGGCGGCATAACTTTTTGACAGCCACTGATAAGAGCCCAAAGAGTCGTGCATCGTGTGTCGAGAGAGTGGAGCAGGATCCATGCCGCATTGTGGCAAGTTTTTTGCACGGCGGCGGCTTCCGACAGCCGCTGCCAGCTGTTTAACATGAAATGCTCTTTGTTGCCAATATACAGCGCACACCACGTAGAGTGGAGCACACAGCCACGCCCACATACATACATGGCAAGCGCATTGTTAACTGCGTTTCCCCATGTAAATCACATTTTTGTTTTATGCCAAAACTTTTGCAAATCAGCAAAAAGGGCGAGGGGGCGAGGGGCGAGGGGCGAGAGGGCGGGCGCAGTGAGAGCGGGCAACGTGGCGTATGCGCAACGACAATAACATTTCCTATTTCCGCCTGGGCTGTCTGTCTCTCTGTCTGTGTGTGTGGCTGCACTCGCACACACACGCACACATGCTCTGTCAATGCCAAAGTCAGCACAATGCTCTCGCCTCGAAATAATTGAATATTATCAAATGTGCTGGCAACAGCAACAGCAGCAGTCGCAGCAGCAGCAGCAACCACAATGAGTGAGTGAACCACAGTTAAAACTAATATAATTAGCGGGGGCGCACGTTTGATTAAAAGTTTTTGCGGCTTGACTGAAGCACCAATCCATAAAACAAAGCTAACCCAAATTAAATAGATTGTTCGCACTTACAGTAAATATACCCTAAAGAGAAACTCAATTAAATAGTGCTTCATGCATACAAAAAGTCAAACAAGTTTCGAGCCATATATGAGAGAATTTAATTGTGATATAGCATTGGGGGTGCATTAGGGGGTGACTATTCGAAATGGAAGCTGCTTAAGACCTTAAAGAGTTTTTGAGCAAAAATAGAATAGAATCAGAATCAAACACAGCCTCAGATAATAATTACAATGCTAGATCCGCAATGTTTACAGATAATGCAAAGCTATTATCAAAGCTTTGATGGAAGCAATAGGCAATTATTTTAATAAATTTATTTATTTTTTTTAAATATTTCTTGACCTTGTATTTAAATAAATTAAAAATGATCAAATTGTTCTATATTCAATAAAACATTTTTTAATCAAAATCATGTTTGTCAGTAATACTGTGTCCATGTTTCTAGGTACTATGTTTCATTAACATTTACGATTTAATTTTTTATATTTTTTTTTTGGTTTTTATTTATTTTTTTGAGTTTATTTATTTATTTTTTATTTATTTTTTAATTTATTGTTTTGTATATAAATGCTGAATGAGTCACAAATAGTTATAAACAATTATTCCGAATATTTACTATTAATTTAATCTAATTAACTTTTAATCATTTGACAACTTTAATTATATTCCTGCATTACAGCCCCGACTGTAGCTTCAGTCACTTCAAATTAAGCTCTTCATTAATCATATGCTAACTACAATGCATTCATCAAGAAACTCCCTCCCTCCTTCTCCCTCCCTCACTCTCTCTCCCTCTCTCTCTCTCTCTCTCCCTCTCTCTCTCTCTCTCTCTCTTGCTGTCTCTCTCTCTCTCTCTCTCTCTTTCTGACTTCTAAGCAAATTCTTTAATTTACACGTGCCACAACGTGGCATGCCTCAAACACATTCTCTTCTTTTTCTCTTCTTTGCGCTTTTCATTTCATTTCGTTGCATTATTTGTTTGTCCATTGTCTTGGCTTAAAGCTTGAAGTGTTCATTTGTGGAGCTGGTCTGCCGTTTCCACATCAACGACTCGGCCAACAATTTTTTGAGCAAATGGTACAGCAATTTTTACTTATGCCTCAATACTTTTGCCTTGTCCACGAGGCGTGGGCGGTGCGGCGTGGCATTGGTTGGCCGGGCGACATGACAAAATGAAAAAGGATACTTGGATACAGGATACTTCATGCCGGACTGTTGGCAGCAGTGGCAACGGCAGCGTGGCAGCGTGCATCAAAAAACATGACATGGCACGAGCCATTTCGTTTGTTTTTCTATTCTTACTTCAGCAGCTAACTCACTCTGCCATCTATCTCTATCTCACTCTCATTCAGCTGTAGCAGGTTTTTTCTGATTTTTTTTTTTTTTTTGGGCTGCGTCCAAAACATATTTTTTCTATATTCTTGCAAGCTTTGAGTAAAATATTATGTTACAGCAAAAAACAAAACTTTTGTGTTGCATTTTCCGCTGCGGGCGTTGAGAAAAATCCCAAAAAAAAAATACAGAGAAAAAAAATGCTTAAAAAATTGTAAACTTAGTTAAATGCATTGGCAAAGTGTTGTGCTTATGCATATTCAAAATGCTTTGGGGCTCAGTGTGAGCCGCACACAAGCAATTCATTAAGCGCAATAGAAAATGGAAAATGGAAAATTTTACACTGGCAGCGGACGGGGTCAGCGCTTCGGACAGTTTACGAGCCGCAGACGCAGACAAAAACGGTCCAAAATGTCGATGGGTTGCATATTTACTACTTAGAAATGTTTCATTTTATTGGTCTCGAAATGAACAAATGGAGCACACCACACACAAGCACAAACAAGCCAACACACACACACACACACACACACACACACACACACACATGCATGCATATGTGCTGTTGACTCCAAAAAATTTTGCATAATTTATGAGCGCAGCGCAAACGGCGGCAACACACGAAAGGACCTCAGCCAAACACACATCTAGTCTCTCACTGTCTCTCTCTCTCTCTCTGCCGCGCTGTCCCTTTCACTCCCTCGCCAACTGATTTAAATGCAATTGCATTGAAGTATGTTGTCAGTTGAAGGCTGCCATGTGAATGCGGCTCACGTGCTGCACAACAGGGAAATTGTTGCATATAGCAAAAAAAGGAAAAAAAAATCTATCAAAAAGAAAAGCTGAAAAATAAATATAAAGAAATGCGGCTGCTGCTGCTGCTGCTACGGCTGCTTCTACTATTGCAGCTGCCCATTTCGGCCATACAATACCTATCGACGTCTTTGGCAATTTCTTTTCATTTGCCAAGGTGTTGAGACGTATGGGCTACGTGGGCAGGTCAGTCGCCCAGTCCTGTTCGCAGGTGTCCTCCACGATTTGCCACCGAAGCAGACCAGTTTTGTCCGCCTGCCAACCGGCCAGCCTTTGTCGACAAACAACCGACAAATTTAGTGTCTTTTGTGCATTCTTAAAATTGAACAAATTTATGTGACACGCTGCGCCAATTGATCAAATTAAATAAACATGAGAACTAGCAAGAAGCATCTGCATTCTATAGAGAATTGAGAATTGAGCAGAGAGCATGAAACAGTTGAGAATCGAGAGCTGAGAGCTGCAGACACAAAGAAAAACTCAATTTGAATTTACATTCATTTTCTAGAATTTATTTTAATAAAATATTTAAATAATTTTTTGGTAAAATATATTTAAACTCATTTTATATTATTATTATTATTTTTAATTTTTATTATAGAGAGCTGAGAGCTGCAGACACAAAGAAAAACTTAATTTGAATTTACATTCATTTTCTAGAATTTATTTTGATAAAATATTGAAATAATTTTTTAGTAAATTATATTTAAACTCATTTTATATTATTATTATTATTTTTAATTTTTATTATAGAGAGCTGAGAGCTGCAGACA